CCCCCACTTTCTAGTTTAAAAGCTCCTCCAGTCTTTCTACACATTAGAGTGTCAGCTCCTCTGTACAGTAACTGATGTGACTGTGGGGGAGGGGACATTAGAGTGTAAGCTCCTCTGTACAGACACGGATGTGACTGGGGGGGGGAGGGGACATTAGAGTGTCAGCTCCTCTGTACAGACACGGATGTGACTGGGGGGGGGAGGGGACATTAGAGTGTCAGCTCCTCTGTACAGACACGGATGTGACTGGGGGGGGGAGGGGACATTAGAGTGTCAGCTCCTCTGTACAGACACGGATGTGACTGGGGGGGGGAGGGGACATTAGAGTGTCAGCTCCTCTGTACAGACACGGATGTGACTGGGGGGGGGAGGGGACATTAGAGTGTCAGCTCCTCTGTACAGACACGGATGTGACTGGGGGGGGGAGGGGACATTAGAGTGTCAGCTCCTCTGTACAGACACGGATGTGACTGGGGGGGGGAGGGGACATTAGAGTGTCAGCTCCTCTGTACAGACACGGATGTGACTGGGGGGGGGAGGGGACATTAGAGTGTCAGCTCCTCTGTACAGACACGGATGTGACTGGGGGGGGGAGGGGACATTAGAGTGTAAGCTCACTCATCTTCTTTGATTCTTTCAGAAAAGTCTCAGAGCGCTGCACTGGGCGCGGACGGCTCGGACCATGGAGGGGAGGACGAGGTTAAACAGTCGGCTACGTCAGGCCAGAGCGGGCCGGAGGAGAAGGCCGCGGCCAACGACGAGGCCGCCAAGTTGAGGCTCCTGAAACCAGCAAACCTGAGACGCAACATCCGGTGAGATGGGGGAACGGGGGCAGATTGGGGCAGATTTATAACTCTTACTATACACCGGGCAGATGCTGTTCCCGCGGCGCTACCGCCACTAGATGTCGCTGAGGGTGCATTGGACTTTCCCGCGCCCGTCGCGTCATACTGTACATGGGCCCCCGTTGTGTTATGTATGTTTTACATGTCGGATCCTCTACAGGAAGAGGTCTGAGGCGTGTGAAAAGCCTTCCTCCTCCAACGCCGTGGTGATGGCTCATTAATCATTCGTTGCCATGGCGACCTCGGTACCAGCATCGCTTGTAAACATTTGCATCCAGGCGATGCGGATCGCTATAATGCAGCCAAAACGCCACGACGCTCCATCTCTCGCACGCTGCATCTGCCCCCCCCCCCCCAC